CACTGGGAAGTGGCCACCCAGGCAGGAACTGACTATATTTCCCAGTCATATTAGCATCTAGTATGGCAATGTGACTAGCTCATCTCAGTGGCATGTGAGTGGAAGGCATGTATACTACTCCTAGAGCAAGGCTTTTCAGAACTAGGTGTACCTTCTCTGTTCTTTCTCCTGCCAGCTAAACGCGGCTGATGCTGAAAAGGACCTAGATGGCAGAACCACAAGAAAGAAGCTGCTTGAGTTCCTCAGTCACTTTTGGGAAATTCACTTAACTAGAACACCCACACTGACTGTCCCATGACTGAGAAATAAATTATTGTGCTAAGCCACTGAAATACTGAAGCTTATTTGTTATAGTAGCAAGTTAACATAACCTATATATATATATATATATATATACATATATATATATGCTGGTAATTACCACAATAGTAATGGTGGTGGTGTCAGACATTGGATCAAACAATCCATCAGTAATAGCCTAGGCAATATGGTGAGGTGCTGTGTCTACCAAAAAAAAAAAAAAAAAATTATTACAAACAACTCTATGCACATAAACTAGTAAACCTGGAAGAAATGGATAAATTCCTGGACACTTGCACCCTTCCAAGTCTAAACCAGGAAGAAGTTGAAACCCTGAATAGACCAATAACGAGGTCTGAAGTTGAGGCAGCAATTAAGAGCCTACCACCCCAAAAAAGCCCAGGTCTAGATGGGTTCACAGCCGAATTCTACCAGACATACAAAGAGGAGCTGGTACCATTCCTTCTGAAACTATTCCAGACAATCCAAAAAGAGGGAATCCTTCCCAAATCATTTTATGAGAACAACATCATCCTGATACCAAAACCCAGCAGAGACTCAACAAGAAAAGAAAACTTCAGGCCAATATCCATGATGAACATAGATGCAAAAATTTTCAATAAAATACTGGCAAACTGACTGCAACAGCACATCAAAAAGCTTATCCACCATGATCAAGTAGGCTTCATCCTGGGGATGCAAGGCTGGTTCAACATAAGCAAGTCTATAAACATAATTCACCACATAAACAGAACCGAAGACAAAAACCACATGATTATCTCAATTGACGCAGAGAAGGCCTTTGACAAAATCCAACAGCCCTTTATGCTAAAAAACCCTCAATAAACTAGGTATTGACGGAACGTATCTCAAAATAATAAAAGCTCTTTACGACAAACCAACAGCCAATATCATACTGAATGGGCAAAAACTGGAAGCATTCCCTTTGAAATCTGGCACTAGACAAGGGTGCCCTCTCTCACCACTCCTATTCAATATAGTACTGGAAGTTCTAGCCAGAGCAATCAGGCAAGAAAAAGAAATAGGAAAGGAGGAAGTCAAATTGTCTCTATTTGCAGATGACAAGATTGTATATCTGGAAGACCCCATCATCTCAGCCCAAAATCTCCTGAAACTGATAAGCAACTTCAGCAAAGTCTCAGGATACAAAATCAATGTGCAAAAATCACAAGCATTCCTATACACCAATAACAGACTTAAAGAGAGCCAAATCAAGAACCAACTGCCATTCACAATTGCTACAAAGAGAATAAAATCCCTAGGAATAGAACTAACAAGGAACATAAAGGACCTCTTCAAGGAGAACTACAAACCACTGCTCAACGAAATAAAAGAGGACACAAAGAGATGGAGAAACATTCCATGTTCATGGTTAGGAAGAATCAGTATCATGAAAATGGCCATACTGCCCAAAGTAATTTACAGATTCAACGCTATCCCCATCAAGCTACCAATGACCTTCTTCACAGAACTGGAAAAAAACACCTTAAACTTCATATGGAACCAGAAGACAGCCCTCATAGCCAAGTCAATTCTAAGCAAAAAGAACAAAGCGGGAGGCATCACACTATCGAACTTCAAACTATACTACAAGGCTACAGTAATCAAAACAGCATGGTACTGGTACCAAAACAGAGATATAGACCAATGGAACAGAACAGAGGCCTCGGAAGCAACAAAACATATCTACAACCATCCGATCTTTGACAAACCTGACAAAAACAAGCAATGGGGAAAGGATTCCCTGTTTAATAAATGGTGTTGGGAAAACTGGCTAGCCATGTGCAGAAAGCAGAAACTGGACCCCTTCCTGACACCTTACACTAAAATTAACTCCAGATGGATTAAAGACTTAAACATCAGATCTAACACCATAAAAACCCTAGAAGAAAATCTAGGCAAAACCATTCAGGACACATGCGTAGGCAAGGACTTCATGACCAAAACACCAGAAGTACTGGCAACAAAAAAATAGACAAATGGGACCTAATCAAACTCCACAGCTTCTGCACAGCAAAAGAAACAGTCATTAGAATGAATCGGCAACCAACAGAATGGGAAAAAATTTTTGCAGTTTACCCATCTGACAAAGGGCTGATATCCAGAATTTACAAAGAACTAAAACAGATTTACAAGAAAAAAACAAACAAGTCCATTCAAAAGTGGGCAAAGGATATGAACAGACACTTTACAAAAGAAGACATACAGGAGGCCAAAAAACATATGAAAAAATGCTCATCATCACTGGTCATTAGGGAAATGCAAATCAAAACTACATTGAGATACCATCTCATGCCAGTTAGAATGGTGATCATTAAAAAATCTAGAGACAACAGATGCTAGAGAGGATGTGGAGAAATAGGAACACTTTTACACTGTTGGTGGGAGTGTAAATTAGTTCAACCGTTGTGGAAGACAGTGTGGCGATTCCTCAAGGACCTAGAAACAGAAATTCCATTTGACCCAGCAATCCCATTACTGGGTATATATCCGAAGGATTATAAATCGTTCTACTATAAGGACACGTGCACATGAATGTTCATTGCAGCACAGTTTACAATAGCAAAGACCTGGAACCAACCCAAATGCCCATCGATGATAGACTGGACAGGGAAAATGTGGCACATATACACCATGGAATATTATGCAGCCATCAAAAACGTGTCCTTTGTAGGGACATGGATGAACCTGGAAACCATCATTCTCAGCAAACTGACACAAGAGCAGAAAATCAAACACTGCATGATCTCACTCATAGGCGGGTGTTGAACAATGAGAACACATGGACACAGGGAGGGGAGCACTACATGCTGGGGTCTGTTGGGGGGAAATGGGGGAGGGACAGCGGCAGGGGGATGTGGGGAGAGATAGCATGGGGAGAAATGCCAGATATAAGTGAAGGGGAGGAAGGCAGCAAATCACACTGCCATGTGTGTACCTATGCAACAATTTTGCATGTTCTTCACATGTACCCCAAAACCTAAATAGCAATTTAAAAAAATTAGCTGGCCATGGTGGCACACATCTATAGTCCCAGTTAGCTGGGAGACTGAGCTGGGAGGATGGCTTGAGCCCAGGAATTTGAGGTTACAGTGAGCCTTGATCGGACCACTGCACTCCAGTCTGGGAAACAGAGTGAGACCCTGTCCTCACCCCAAGTAAGCACACAAAAAGATGCTTGACACCATTAGCCATGAGGGAAACGCACATAAAAACCATAACGATATGCTATTCCATCCCCACTGGGATGGCTATGGTCAAAAAGATGGGCATAGCAAGTGCTTGTGAGAATGTAGAAAATTGCGAACCCTCAAACATTGCTGGTGGGAATGTAAAATGATACAGCTGCTGTGAAAAATTCTGGCAGTTCCTCAGAAAGTTAAACACAGAGTTATCCTATGACCCAGCAATTCTACTCTCAGGTATATATCCAAAGGAATTCAAAATATATGTTCACATAAAAATGTGTACAGGAATGTTCATAGCAGCATTATTCATAACAGGCAAGAAATGAAGACAATTCAAATGTTTACCAACTGAAGAACGAACAAACAGAATGTGGTATATGCATACAATGGAATACTATTCAGCCATAAAAAGAAATGAAATTCGGATATATGCTATAACATGAATGAACCTTGAAAACATTATGCTAAGTGAATGCTGCAAGGAACAAAAAGTCACATACTATATATATGATTCCATTTATATGAAATGTCCACAGTATGCAGATCCATAAAGAAAAGACAGAAAGTAGATTATTGGATGCTAGGGCTGGGAAAGTTGGAGGGAAATAGGGAGTGACCATTCATGGGGAAGATGTTTCTTTTTGGAGCGATAAAAATGTTCTGGAACATTAGATAGCAGTGATGGTTACACAATGCTGTAAATATACTAAAAACCCCTCAATTATACACTTTAAAAGGGTGAATTGTATAGTATGTGAATTATATCTCAATTTAAATAAAAAAAAGAGAATTTCATTTGCTCCACCTTGTGTCTTAGAGATTCTGGCTCTACACAAAGAGGCACTGAGCTCTTTTCACGTACCATGATTCCAGGCTGCTCAGAACCCTCAGACTCCTTCCTCCTATCTTCTGCTGAAAGCAGACAAGTCCAAACAGCCCCAGTGCCATATGCATTAAGTGCCCCTGTTTGACTGTGGAGAAATAAGGCACAGGGCTTTCCTTAGTTTGAGTAACAGCATAGTTAACACTGGGCTGAGACAAATATTGACACGAGCTCTGAGAATGCTATGAGGGTGGGGAATAGGATAGAGTTCCATAATAACTACTTAAGTATGTGCTGCTTCAGCAAAGTTCTCTAAGGGAGAAAACAATCCTAAAAAAGTAGTGTGAGATGTGGTGCGGGAGGGGGGCGGTCTGAGACAGGACAGCATAAGGAAAGTATCTTCTTTTCCCTATTAAGGTACACATGTCATTTTCAAAAGTGTGAGTCAAATTCACACCACAGAATAGAGAAACTTTGTTTGGTGACACCAAGTAAATTTCATGTAAGTATTGAATAGTCAAAACTGAAGAGAAGATCACTGGAGTATGTTTTCAACCTTGAAATAAGAATGTAATTTGGTGATTCTATGAATCTTCTTTGGAACCTCTGAATCCACTGGGAAGACTGTATTTTTGATAGGAATCAATTCCTAAAAAGACACAACTTACTTGCAGGAAACTTTAGTTCTGTCAGCAACCATGGTCCACTGTTGCTGGTTGGTAGAAACCTCAACGTAGTAGCTATAGCTTCGATCGTCACAATCCCAAAGTAGTAACCTGAACAAAGGGGAAAAAAATAAGATTGTTGTTAAAAAAAATAAGCGGTTATTTCCTTAGGCTGTGGGCAACTCCCTCCCACCCACCTCCTTTGTCTAGCACATTTCTAGGACTGGACAAAGTAGTGAATCCCAACAAAAGTATGAGAACAGGCAGAGTCAGTCTGCAATGAGAGGCTTCTGATCTTTAGTTTTTTTCACAAGTCACCCAAGCTCAGGCAGCCTCTGCCTGGCTGGTGGCAAAGTTCTTTAGACTGGTTTAGGAGAAAGAAGATGTCCCCAGATCACCCTTTTAGCTGCTTCTAGCTCTCCTCTCCAGCTGGCTTGGCTGACCACTGCTCAAAGGAGAATATGTAATTTCTAATTGATTTTTATTTTTTATTTTTATTCTTAGAGACAAGGTGTTTCTCTGTCATCCGACTGGAGTGCAGTGCTGTAATCATAGCTCACTGTAGCCTCCAACTCCTAGGCTCAAGTGTTCCTCCCACCTCAGCCTCCTGAGTAGCTGGGACTACTGGTGCACACTATTTTTTTTATTATTATTTGGTAGAGGCACAGTCTCACTATGTTGCCCAGGCAGGTCCTGAACTCCTGGCCTCAAGTGATTCTCCTACCTTTGCCTCCTAAAGTGCTGAGATTACAGGTGTGAGCCACCATGTCCAACTTAATTGATTTTTTTTTAGAGACAAGTTCTCACTCTGCTGCCCAGACTGGAATGCAGTGGTGTGATCACAGCTCACTGCAGCCTTCAACTCCTGGGCTCAAGTGATTCTTCTGCCTTAGCCCCCCAGGTAGTTATGGTTACAGACATGCACCACCATGCCTGGCTATTTTTAAATTTTATGTAGAGATAGGGTCTTGCTATGTTGCCCAGGCTGGTCTCAAACTTCTAGCCTCAAGTGATCCCCCCACCTTAGCCTCCCAAAGTGCTAGGATTACAGGTGTGAGCCACTGTGCCGGTCTAATTAATTTTTCTAATAGTATTTTCTAATTGGTGATAACCCCATGACCTTTATTATCATGTTTTATCTTCTTTCTTATTCTCACCTGGATTTTTACAGAGCTGTAGTAGGGTTATCTGATTTGTAGATATAGGCAAACAGACATTCATTTGCAAAACTTTCATTATTTAGACATTGATTATCTTGGTCCTGTTCTTATGCCCCTTTTCTGCCCAGACAGGAACTTAAGCATTAACTGTATAATTCCATTTACATGAAGCTCAAAGCAATTTATCTGTTGGTGACAGAAATCAGAATAGTGGTTAGCCCTGGGGAGGTATCGACTAGGAAAGGGTAAAAGGGAACATTCTAGAATCCTGGAAAAGCGCTAATTTTGATCAGAGTGATAGTTACATGGGTATATATGTATGTAGATATTAGTTGAGCTATCCATAAAAGATCTGTTCACTCTGTGTGTGTTATTCCCCAATTTAAAAAATAATTTTGAAAAAGAATCTGGCGGGACATGGTGGCTCATGCCTGTAATCCTAGCACTTTGGGAGGCCAAAGCAGGTGGACTGCCTGAGCTCAGGAGTTTGAGACCAGCCTGGGCAACACGGCGAAACCCCGTCTCTACTAAAATACAAAAAATTAGCCAGTTATGGAGGTGTGCACCTGTAATCCCAGCTACTTGAGAGGCTGAAGCAAGAGATTTGCTAGAACCCAGGAGGCAGAGGTTGCAGTGAGCCAAAATCACATCACTGCACTCCAGTTTGGGCCACAGAGCGAGACTCTACCTTTAAAAAAAAAAAAAAAAAAAAAGAATCTGAGCATTACAATACAGGATTAGTATTTTGCTTCTGACACTGCCACAGGGGAGACAAATACTGTTCTCTATTATTTCTGCCTTAAAAGCCCTTCCTATACAAACTATGAATCTTATTGGTTTATAGTTGGTCAGGTATGTTTGCTTCCTCTACCAGGGGCATAGATTGTGAGCTCCTTGAAGGCAGTGCCTATGTCTTACTGATTTTTTTCTACACCATTGACATAATGTCTCACATGGAGCTTAAACTCAGTCAGTGTTTGCTGAGCAAATACATTCTTTGTAATACCAGTAATTTTTTTTTTTTTTTTTTTGAGACGGAGTTTTGCTCTTGTTACCCAGGTTGGAGTGCAATGGCGCGATCTTGGCTCACCGCAACCTCCGCCTCCTGGGTTCAGGCAATTCTCCTGCCTCAGCCTCCTGAGTAGCTTGGATTACAGGCATATGTCACCATGCCCAGCTACTTTTTTTGTATTTTTAGTGGAGACGGGGTTTCACCATGTTGACCAGGATGGTCTCGATCTCTTGACCTTGTGATCCACCCGCCTCGGCCTCCCAAAGTGCTGGGATTACAGGCTTGAGCCACCGCGCCCGGCCTTGTAATACCAGTATTAATGATCATGATGGCCAACGTTTCTTTAATGTGTACTGTATATCAGTCCCTATGTTAAGTTGTCTATATAATGTTTTATTAAAATCCTTCTAAATATTCTCTTAGCAAGCATTATTACCCTTAGGAAATTACAGACATTGAAAGTGAGGATTAAAGCTTGTTAAGTAACTTTTCCAAACTCATACAGTAACTGAGTGGTGGAAATGATACAAGGTTCTAAACTGGTACCTTCACCAAAAGCCCATTTCTGTAATCCCACTGCCAAATGTTCCCATTACTCTCGCTTTATATATCTGGTTCATAATTTACAACCTCTAGCCTATCACTCTATAAAAGTCATTTGTATTATTTTTCCTTAATCTTATGATTATAATCAGTGAAAATCCTTTGCACAACAAATTCAGTTTAGTGTCACTTATAAAGCTATTACCAAGGACTAGGATTGCCTGTATTTCCCATTTTCCTTTACTCTTGTCTGTTTGTGTGTGGCGGGGCGTGGGGTGGGAGGAAGTATGGGGAGACAGCTTCTCACTCTGTTGCTCAGGCTGGAGTGTAGTGGTGCAATCATAGCTCACTGCAGCCTCAAACTCCTGGGCTGAAGCACTCCTCCTTCCTCAGCCTCCCAAATAGCTGGTATTACCACATCCAGCTAATTAAAAAACAAACAAACAAACAAACAAAAAACAGATTATTTTGTAGAGATAGGGTCTCACTGTATTGGCCAGGCAAGGTCAAACATGTGGCCCCCATCTAACCTCTTGTGTGGCCTCCTAAACGTCTTGTCTTGCCTTTCATTCTTTATTTTCTATTGCAATTCTGTTTGCAATCAGTTACTAAATCCATACTACCTAGTATTTTTGAACTCATCTTGCAAGTAGAGAAAACTGTTAAATGTGTTTGGAAGGCATATACAGATGATACCTACTGATTCCTGTTAATATGCCTCAATGTTTAATCTCTTCTCTCAAAGTACCCTGAATGAATCACAAAGGATGACGCTCTGTTGTTCTTAAGTGTCCCAAAATTCTACTCTTAGATTACACTAATTTGCTTATAAGAAAGTGAATCATTTCCTTCATTAGTCATTTCCTTGAATATTATCCTAGTCTCTTAGCATTTTTATGCAGTTAGCCTACGCTAATTTAGATTAATTTTGAGTAACTTTTAAAGGTGTATTTTTTGCTTCTATGTTTGGGTCTCATTTTGATTATAAGAACTTTAGAAAGACATTTGATCTTTCTCTTTTTAAAAACTCTGCTTCAGACACGTGGGCTCTGTTCATGGCATATGTTCCATACATTTTCTGGATTGAAATCATTCGTAACTGTGACACAGTAGACTAAAACTAGGGGAAAAGGTCCAATCAATTAACCATTCTCTTCATTTAACAGCTCTGGTAGTAACAGGTTTGTTGGAAGATAATGTTGGGGTCATTTTCCCCAATAGAATTTTTAATTATTTATGGAGAACCAGGTTTATCATAATCCCTATCCTTCTAGGTAATCATAAACTAGTGTTTCTACAGAGGATCGAAATGAAAACAGTCAGTCCCTTTTGGGATAGAACTTAACCAGATCTGAAAATATTATATGGAAAATGACTGCGTTGAGGATATAGGATATGAAGATCAAAAAAAGAAGACAAATTATGAGTATCATAAATGATCTAGTAGATATTCTTGGAGTGATAACATATTTGAGGAAAATGTTAAGTTGTATATATCATGCTCTATAAGTAGCTTATTCTATAAAAGTCCTCTAATTTGTTACAAGGGAAATTATTATTTTTAAATGAAGATAATCTGAAATTCCAGTAACTTTTAAAACATATACACACAGTACATATGGTTTGTAACTTGCTACTTTTGCTTAATGGTCTGTTATGAATATCTTTTTGTATCATCAAATATTCTTCTATGTCACATGTACTGACTTCATAGTATTTCACTGTAAGGATGTTCCATACTTTAATCAATCCCTTATTATTAGACACTTAAATAGTTGATAATACTTCACTGTTATGAAAATTCTTTTTTTTTTTTCCTTTGGAAACAGGGTTTTGCTCTGTTGCTCAGGCTGGAGAATACAGTGGCACAGTTGTAGCTCACTGCAGCCTTGATTTCATGAGCTCAAGTGATCCTCCTGCCTCAGCCTCCTGAGTAGCTAGGACTACAGGTGCATACCACCATGCCGAACTGATACTTACAAAAAAAATTTTTGTTGTTGTCTAGGCTAGTCTCCAACTCCTGGCCTTAAGCAATACCTCCACCTCAGCTTCCCAAAGTGTTGGGATTAAAGGCATGAGGCACTGAGTCCAGCCTATTATGAAAATTTTGTGATAAACACTCTCAAGTGAAATCTATGATTATTGATTTGAATAATTCTGTAAGTGAAACTTCCGGAGCAAGGCATATAAACACTTTGAGGCTTTGATATTTATCACAAGATAGCTGTAGATTCTATTCCCCCCAACCCCAAGCAAAAATCTGTACCAATTTATATGAACACTACCAGCACTGTATAACAAATGCCTGTTTCTGTGCATCATCACCAATATTATATATTATGTTTAAAAATACTGTTAATTTCATAGCTGAAGTATCTCATTAATCTGCAATTTTT